CTTTTATTTTCTTTTTCCCCGTAGGTGGTACAAACTGAAGCTGCCTGTCACTGTGAGCTTTTGTTTTGCTTTGTCATCCTCTAATGTAAAAAATAAATGAAGCTTGAATAAGGTTACCGTGCAGTATAGCTGTTGGAGTTCAGAAAATCTGTATTTAGATGCTGCAGCTTGGTTTTTAACTCAGGAGATATTGTGAGCATTGTTATGTGACTATCCTCAGTGACAAACACTTAACACCCAGTGTGCTAGTGCAGCAATTTCAGGCACATATAGTAATCAGTAATAAGTAGCCATCTTAGGACTTAGTCATTCAACTTGATTTCCCGTGCATGGAGTTAAACTTTTATCACCAGCTAGTGGCTATTGTCTTTGTGTTTGGTCAAGGTCTAGATGAGATTATATACTGCATTCGAAATAGAACAGCCTGGAGGAATTATTCAAAACAGGGCTTTGCTCATATGCTGTGCGAGTTTTTAACTTTAAGAGTAAACCTTCAGATGTGAGTTTGTTGTTTAATATGGATGCTGCTGTCTGCTCACTGCTACAGCTCTGTGCACAGGGGGTGGGATTTTGAGTTTTGTGCTGCTGAGGCTGCAGTCCATTTCTACCAAAGGTGCTGACTTCACAAATTCCTGAAGTGTTTTAGTCAGGCGTCCCTTAATGCTCCATTGCTTGCTTAGGACATAAAGAACTCAGTTTCAAGCAGTAACTGATAATCTGCAAGCATAATAGGTAAATAATGCTGAGAGGTTTTGGTGATTATTTTTTTATTTTTTTTTTTAAAAGACGGCTTTGATTTCATCTTGGGTTAAGAAAAACTGGCAGAGACTTACTTTTGTGTTGGATGTTGTCCTGCGTCTCATCCCCTCCCCCATTTTTAGCATCAGTGATTATGGCCACGCTTGTTCAAGTTAGAGAAACAATTGGTAATAATGCAAAGTAAGTATTGCAATACGCTTTCCTTACAAACAGAACCTAAAGATACAGAGCAAGGATCTAGCTTCCAAACTTAGGTAACTGAACATCCTACTCAGGTTAGCAGTATCACAGACTGAGGTCCATGTTCTCTGTCTTGTTAATCTAAATGAAGTACAAAAATCTCCATACTCAGTGGCAATGTTTTGATGAGATGTGCACTTTGCTTTGTAAAAGGGAAAAGAAATTAATAGTTTTAGAAATTAAAATTTTCATTTGGATCAGATGAATTGCTGAAAATAAGGGAAGTCTTTTTAGGTCTTTCAGAAGAGTGCTAATGTGATAGCTTAGCAAAATTGGAATGTTTATTTACATAAAAAAAACCCCTTGCACCCTGTTGGCATGTGTTACTGTGGCCTTCTGTTCATAGAGTATGGACTCAGGAGCAAAAGACTTGCTTCAGTCCAGTAGTGAATTCCTGATGCTGGCAAGTATCTTAGACGTGAACACTTGAGTATCTCCACCATGTGCCCAGGACAAATAATCTAACCCAATTAAGGCAAATCTAACATCTGTAGTAGAAGACACTTCAAGCCTTAGATTGTATGAGCTGCTGCTTCTTTATACAGTAAATAGTGACTCCTTTAAAACCAGCTTACTTTAGGTTGGAAAGTTAAATTAGAAGAAAACTCATGTGTTGTATGATATACTAGTGAAAACTTTATGAAAACTTTGTGATCCAACAGATGCATCTGGTAAACTGGAGGAAGTATACTGTGATCTCTAGCCTTGTCATTCTAGAAGTTAATTTGAATTTCTAAGTCAAATAAAAACTGTGGACGTGTCTCCTGCTTTATCTGAAAACCAAGATGTGCACAGATAGCAACTACAATTTCTGTTTCGGAACAGGTATCATGAATTCTTGAGCTCTGAAAGGTTAAGAAAGCTTAAGTTTACTTTTAAAAAGCAATAAGTAGAAGAGTAAGTACAAGTACATTGTCTTTCACGGTTGGGTATGGGGGAAGCTGGAGGTTTTCTGCCATGCTGAGTACCTGCCAAGACACCCTGCACTTCACTGTTCTATAAGGGTTGCTGCTCAAAACACAGCAAATTTTTCTATTCTATGTTGTAGAATAGAAAAATTCAATTTTAGGCAAACCTGTAGGTGCTTTGTCAAAATGGCAAGGCAAACTGAAGTAGTTGCTTCTATTTGGGGCCTAACTTGTTTCCACTTGTACAGGGTGCTAGTCTTGCTACATGCCTGTGCTCTTGTGGCTGTTGTTACAGGCATATTAATATAAATTATTTTTCTGCATCTTATGCAAGAGTCGGTTTTGGAAGTGCATAACTGAAGTGTTTTTTGGGTCTAAATCAAGCAACGACAAAATCTGGATTAGTTTGTATTTGACATGGGGTTCTCTAAATACTTTGCTATTAACCTATCTTGAGGCACTTGTTTCTGAGTTGATTAATCCTTTTTCATCTGGCTTCTGCCAGATCATCTTTGGAGCGGTAAAGGTGTGATTAACAGTTGTTGAGTGACACAGGAGGCTTGGACATGTAAATATAGGAGGATGCTTCAATGCTATGAGTTGTTGCTTTGCTTATGTGGAAGAAAGTGAGGTTGGAGGTGTTTCAGAATGCTGATCCTGATCTGTTCTTCAAGCCTTGTCACATGTTCTCCTTGCACTGTCATGGCTGTAGTTGTGATCAGAGTGGTGTGAGGGAAAGTGAGGTGTGAAAGCAGGGCATCTGATCCTCACTACTCATAAGGCTGGACCACTTTCAAACAGAGCCAGGAAACTCTTATTCATAACCTCATAGTCAAATATATGTGATGAAGAATAAAGGAAGCTGTCTTTTTCTGTTGCTAGTTGATGTTTTGGAAATGGCTTGGAAGTTTGAATAGGTATAGGTCTGAATTTCCAGCACAACTAGATGATCAGTGCTGCCTTGTTGAAGAGGACTTCATTTGCTTCCCTCAAACTTCAAGCAACTGAATATAGTGCCTGGGTTGTGTATTTTACCCCACTACGCTCGCTTATGTAGGAGATAATGGACCTAGACCTCTGTTGTGGTTTAGGCCAACCCGGCAACTAACCTCCACACAGCCACTTGCTCACTCCTTCCCCAGTGAAATAGAGAGGAGAAAAATATAATAAAAGGCCTGAGGGTCGAGACAAGAACAGAGAAGGAGCACCCACCAACCATGGTCCCAGGCAAAACAGACTAGGCTTTCTTAAAGCAATTTATTAACAGTTACTTAAAAGGACAAAGGGAATCAAAACCAATTACTTGAGAAGATAAAAAGAAACAAAGCCAGATCTTAAAAACAACACCTCCCCACCCCCCCTTTCCTTTTCTTTCCGGCTCTACCTCCCCCCAGCGGCACAGGAGGACAGGGAATGGAGGAGAGGAGGTCAGTTCATCCCATGTTGTTACTGCTGCTCCTTTCTTAAAGGAAAAGGAGTCCTTACACCATTTTCCCTTGCTCCAGTGGATCCCCTAATCAGGAAGAAAATCCACAAACTTCTTCAGTGTGAGTCCTACCCACAGGACACAATCCTTCCCCATCAGATTGCTCCAGTGTGGGCTTTCCCACAGTCTCGGATTCTTAGGGAGTTGTTGCCACTCACTCCAGCATGGGTTGTCCCGCGGACTCTAGATGCGTCTCTACCTTGTCGTGCCCATGCTTCTCCTCCGACGGGGGTTCTCCACGCCCTGCAAGTGGGTCTCTGTTCCACTGGGACCACCTTGGCTGAGGGGGGCCGCCTGCCGTCTCGCCACTGGTTGCAGGGGAAGCTCAGCGCCAGCACACCTCATCCCGTTCCATCTTCACTGACCTGGTGTCGGTGTGGCCGTTTCTCTCAGATCTCAGTCCTCTTGGGTGAACTCAGCCCGTTGCTGGGGTGCTCCCTGAGTTCCCGTGGCACCGGCCTGGCGCAGGCAACCGCCCGGCTGGGAGCTGGGGAACGGGGGCAGTGCCTTCCTCCCTTCTCTCCTCGCTCCTGGGCAAAGCACCTTTTCTGGTTCCTTTGTCCCAACTTACATAGGGCAATTCGCAGAGGTGCCAATTGGCTCAACCCTGAGGGGGATGGGAGTCCGATCTGGTGGCCAGAACTGGGGAGGTCACAGGGAGGAAATTCCCTCTCCTGCCACCAGACCTGCCCTCCCCCGCCCCCATCAAACCATCACAGCCTCTATAGAATCTCAATCACCAGCAATTAGAATGCTGAAGTGTAATAAGCTGCTTTGGTTTGGACAATGCAAGTATTACTTGAATAAACTTGCGTTACCAGAATTTAAACTGCAGCCTATTTCTCCGAGTATCTAACTTGAATTGGCACTAGAAGTCCTTATACCTATTAATGGAATCAAAAGTTGATATGAAATATAAATGGTGCAGAGAAGCCTAAGGTGGTAAAATCGCCTAATAAAATGTGAATTTTAAATATTTCTGTCTTTTTCAAGTGACTTTCATGGGGCATATTGAAAGTCTGAACTTATGCATGTATCCTATCTGTCTGAGGTCTTTTGAGTCTTTGGGCTCAATTAAAATTTACTGCTTTTCTTCAGTGTCTGTTAAGAATGTTTCTGAAGCTGTTGAATTGAATGACCACTCAGCAGAGAAACAGTAAATTGACTTGTCTTTAAGGGGAAAAATGACATGAGCTGTTTGTTTATAAGATTGTGCTTAGGAGACCCTTTCCTGCAGAGCACTGTTAACCTAGTAGCCTAATTGGAAGTAAAATTCAGTTTTCTCTTCCCAGTTCAAGAAGTAGAAGCATTTGTGCAAGTTAGTAACAAAGGCATCTCAGATTAATTGTATGGGATGGATACTACATAAGGTGTGCATAGCTTCTGGAAACAGAAGGGTCCTTTTACCTTCCCAAATTCCCCTGTAAAGCGATGCTTAAGTTACCTCTGTGATATTTGACTTCATCTAGTTGTAATACTGGAAAGGGAGAGCAATAATTCCTCCTGATGTTTGTATGTTCACACAGCATGGTTGGGTCGAAAGAAGCTTAGGGTGGGAGAGGGCTGTCCAAAGCACTGCATCCTGATGTCTGTTCTTTTGATTTCAGGCAAAAGTAAAGAAGCGGAGATAAAGAGGATAAATAAAGAACTAGCAAACATTCGGTCTAAATTTAAAGGTAAGTGACTTGATTGTACTAAGCTATACCTATTTCCTTGTAAGACATTCTTCTGTGGTTGTTTTTTTTTCATTTTTTACATTTTTGTTTGGACTCTTATCAACTGCTGACACATGCACAGTGCTAGAGCAGGCTGTTACGATAACTATTGAAAATGTTCTCTTAACTGCAGAACTTCTGGACAGTCCTGTGGCTCTTGGCCATAACAGAAGAGAACTTCATCCTATATCAAAGAATTGAGCTCTTGTCTACAAACGTTTTCTAATATTTTGCCTCCTAACCATGTGACTGCTCAGCCTGTTTTCTTCCAGAAGGCCATAAACTAGTTTGAAGAAACATGGGTGGATGTTATTATTTCCAGTAAAACAGAATCTGTTTAAACTTCCCTCCTCTTCCCTCTCCCATTACTTCTCTAAAAAGGTCGGGGGTGAGGTTAGGCTGTCTTCTAGCAGAATTAAGATAAAAACATGTAGTTGATGAAGCCGTACATCTTGACCACTCCCATAAGCAACAGCAATACAAATAATTCATATGAAACAAACAATATGTAGTGACTAATTCTGTCCTTGCACATTCCAAGAGGTAGCAATTCACTTTAAACAACACATGGTAAAACTCGTGACGTAATGGTATTCAAGTTATGTATGTGGCTTCAAATTTTGAAGATTCTGAGGGGTAGTTAAGATGCTTTTGAATGAAGTTCTAACAGTAGTGGCTGTGGCAGACATTCTGTTTAAACAGATACGGGGCTGTGTGTGTAGCTAGATAAAGCATTGCAGTGTGGAGGTCATATATGTGGCTTCAGAATTTGCTGTATTTGGATTAAACCCATTTACCTTAAACATCTACCCTGACTTAGACTAGCATATTTATTTAGATTACTCAATGCATTAACAAAGCCTGAAATAACTTTCCTGAACTTCATAGGGATCTGTTGCTACTGTAAGTGCTGTGTCTCTTAAAGGCATATGAAGGTCTGCAAAAACTTGTGTCAACAACAGCTTGGAAGGGAAAAGTTGACCACAGTGCAAGACAATCAAAAGTTAAGACGTTTTTCCAAGTTAGAAGTTAGTTATCCAGATTGGTAACTTCAGTCGTAGGGTAACTGAGAAAATTTTAATGGCTATTTTTCTAAGGTAAATAGAAAAACAAACTTTCATCTAGTCAACTCCCTATCCTGTCACATTGTTTTTCAATTCCTTTTCATTGCAAAGCTTCCATCTAACACTGATGTTTGTTTGACTTTTGCCAGAAGTCGCAGACTTTGCAGTCTGTTCTAAAATTTGTGTCCGTTTCCAGTCACAGTGACCATTTGTGTGTGTTTTCAGGCAGTGACCAGCAGATGTTGCCTCTGTGTACTGAGTATGCTTGCACACTGAGGAACTAGCACGTAGTTCAAGAGTCTATTAGAAATCTGCATACAAGAGTAAAAAGCCATTTTTCTTAGCTCCAGCTGTATGATCGAAGTGAATCATCTTACTGCCTAGAAAATTTAAGCTTATAATTGTAACTTTTAAATAAAGAAGTTTAATCTCCAGGCAAGATCTATAGGAGGCAAATTAAGTGTATCTTTCACATGAAGAGACTGAGTTTAATTAAAAACTGTTTAAGAAGTTTCTGTACACCTGAAGTTAGTCAGTTTCATGTTATTCTGTCTTTCAACTAATTTCACTAAATTGGTTAGTCTGGAAGATACTGTGATGAAGACTGCTTGTTTTCTCTTAGTCTGCATTTGTAAAACTACTTGCTGTCAGCAGCATTATTGGTTATCAGCTGTTGCTGAAATTCATTTCAGTACCAAAATTACTGAATTGTTTAGACAGGACAGGTTTTCTGTAAAGCAGTATGTCACTTTCTCTGCAGATATATTAACAGTTACTCTACCTATGCCCTTTTGTCATCAAGAACAACTAGAGGTTAGTGCCTAGCTAGAAACCTTGCTGCTGTCACACTAACACAGAAATCTAGTTCTTTCAGCAACTTAACTTCAGGCTATGCCACATTTTTTTAATATTGATTTGTTTGATGGGCAAGCTTTAGTTTGTTTGCAAAACCTAATAAATTTTTCACTAATGAGACTGGAAGCTTTCATCAGACTAAGTCTTCAGTTTGCAGTGAAGGCCTGAAAACTTCAAAAGGCATAAAAGAATGAAAGTTATTGAAGCTCCTGTAGAATCTCACTGCCTACTATAGAATCTCACCGTATGTTCCAGTGTGCTTGAAGCATGGAGAACATTCTGTCAGACCTGCTCACTTCACTGCTCGAGTTAAACATGCTGTTGTAAAGGAATGCAATACAGAATTGCAGAAAAGTTCATAATGCTTAAGGCTGAAATGAGGAAGCTAGACTCAAACCTCTATTCCAAATGAAAGCTAAGCATTCTGTAAAAAAATGATTGCTTACATGTTTTGAGTAACAGAAGTTAGATTCCACTTGGGTCCATCCACAGCCACTAACCTGGATACTTCTGTAAACTTGTGAGTGTGAAAGAATTAATGCTAATAATAATTATGCCTTCTAAGTGCACTTACTGGTAAAGCGCAATAAATCCTATGTGGGGATCCCAGATTGAACACTGACACAGAACTCAGTATTTTGTCAACGTCAGTCGTCTTGAGTCTTGCCCTGTGAAGAGTCTACAAACTTGTATTCAGAAGGTTGCTAGTATCACCTGTAGTAAAAATCTGCCTGACACATGCTAGAGCTAGTCTTCTGTGCTTTTCCATGACTGTCTTTATAAAACCAGCAGTATAAACTGCCGTATTACTAACTTTAAGTAAACTTGGCAGTAATGAAGCTCTAAGTGAACTGAATTCTGTCAGAATAGCTGTTGTACCACTGAATATTCATAGGTTAGAGCTGCTGATGGCACAGTTCATAAAAACCTGTTCAGTTCTGTTCCTCAGTTTTGCAAACTATTTCGTGGCTTAAGTACAAAAATAGTTAAAACTATGTGCACAGTAAGTTCTTCTCTGGTTAATTGTGATACAGGGGAGAAATGATAATAGGAACCTTTGGCAGTGTAGAACTATGAATCAGGCAATGATCAGAGAGCAGAGGTGCTTTCAGCAAAGCAGTACAATGACTTTACCCTGTGTACCTTGTGTACCGTCCTTTAAGCACAGTTTAAATAGTTTTGAATAAATATCAGTGTATGCTCATTCAGTAGCTGAGGTGAAAGATAACTAAACCTTTCCATAAGCTGGTCTTCATTATGGCTACTTTGTTACTGAATTTGTATAGATTTTAGGTGAAAAATTTTACTTAACTGAAGACAATGACTTGATGTAGCTGGAACGCAAACTAGACTTAAATGTCACAATTTGGATAACTTGTGTAACTGCTTGAGGCCTTGAGAGTGTGAGGAGGCGATAGCTGTGTATCTTTCAGCTGCAGAAGTTCTACATGGGGTTTGTGCTGTGTGGTTCTTCCTTGCAGAAGGGCTGTATAAAAAAAAAAAACCTTCAAAATGCATTTTATTCTTGGTTTAAGTGAAGATCATTTGGTTTAACCCAGTTTCTTTTTATGTAGCTCTGACTTTTTAAAATGTTTTAAATAGTTTGGATTAAGACAAATGTGTGACCGTGAACCTAAGATGGAGTCCCTTACTAAATAATTATGGGGGATATTGGGGTCCTGGGCTGATTATCTGGCTAAAGATGCAGCTGTTGGACTAGCTGCTTTGCTGTAACCAGGGGAAGGTCTGACTGTAAGAAGCAAGACTGGCTGTAGTGCCTCTCGACACAGATATGCTCTGGCTTGAGACTAGCGTAAGAGACTGGTATACCACGAGTATTCTTTCCTTCCTCTACCTTTATACCCTTCAGCATACTCCGTTGTAGTATCTAGACCCCCACCCCGTGTAACTTGCAAGATATGTTCTTATGCTGTTACAGTCAGAGGCTAAGTATTTCTGCTTTTGTTCTATCATGCAAGTAGCTGGCAAGCCTGTTACTTGCCTTATGTTTGGGTAACCTGCTGTTTAAAATACCCTTGCACTTAACAGGCTGAGATGAGACTGCACATCTCTGGCTATACTATTCTTGAACTGATGGAATGTACACCATGGCATTGAGTTCTGATCTGGCTTCTGTGCTCCAAGCTCAGAAGGAATCTAGAATCTCTGTGCTTAAAGTGACTGTCTCTTGTTTCAGCGTGAGGAAATTCCATTGCTGAGGTCAGCGTGTCCTTGACAGTTGTTTTAAACGCTTCTGCATTAACTGAGATAAGATGCATGTAGTAGAGAGAAACTACACCAGCATAATAAAGCAGAAGTTGTAGGAGCTATGTGTGAAGTGGAGAATACTATTACTTTTGGTTTATGTGTTCAGACTGCAAGCTGGTTTTTGCTCCCATGCTTGAGCCAAACCAGAAGTCTGGCTGTCGGTAATTCCTTTGTAAATGAGTGAAAAAAATAATACCTGGTTCATTAACTTGCTGCATCATTTTGGTCTCTCAGAGCAGAATTTGTGTACTAATGAAACTGCCCACAAATCTATGAGCTTTTTTCTATAGTCAAAGGAGCTTTGTTCTCTGCTTGATTCAGACTTCGTTCTTTTCTTTTTTTCCAAATCTGGCATTAGATTTTAGTTTTGTTCTGATTGCTTAATAGGGTTTGCCTACAATAAAAAGGGCTGCTAGATTTCAGACGTGCTAATGTATCTTGGTCTTGACTCGTGCAGAAGTGCCCCAATGTCAGTTGACAATCTCTGCTTTTTTTATTTCAACTCACTTGGTTTTGCCCCAGATTACAGAGTAACCCTTTGCAGGAGGTTCAAGATAAGCCTCTAAATACCTGTTTTAAACAGAAGCTGTGTAACAGTAAATTGCTTTCCTGGCAGACCATGAAAGTGTAGTCTGTATATTTAAGATGGATCTGATTAGTCAGTGTCTTCTGACCATCTAAGAGCTGTACGAAGGCAATTGGACAGTAAAATAATAAAGTGTCTTCACTGACAAAGTGAATTATTGAAAGTAGAACCAGGCTTCAAGTGTCACC